AAACAGCAAATGAAAAAATTCCCACAACTCAACTTCCCGCCAAAAATTGTTGCACCTCATTAGTGGGCCTTATCTCGCCGCCATGCGAACTACTCGATTTTTCTACATATGTACTATACTACATACATTTATGTGCAAATGTGTGCGCCCACATAACTGAATTCGACGCAATAAGAAAAGAATCAATCCAGACTGGCCTGCTAGCCATATACTAGATACGCATTTAGCGGAAAATACTTTGGCTCACAGCCAACCAAAATTCTGAACGCTGTTGATATACTACATACGTACTGTTTTTTGTTATTGGCATTTTCGGGTTATCATGATATTTTTTTCTTGGTAGCTCTATCGTTGCTATAAAAATGTCAGACACGTACATATTATCATGGCATATTTAAAACAAGTATCCCTAATTACGACAATCAATGGCAAATTAGCGCCACATGGATGTTAGTTGGGATATTGAATTCAAAAGGAGCTAATTGGCTTTTTTAACTTGTTTGATTTTAAATATAACAGAATATTATGTTATGAGTTATGTTCATCCTGTTTTGAAATATAATAAATTATAATTATTTATATTAATAAATCTTTTGCACAACATAAAATAGCAATGGCAACCATTTCTGAGTACTGAACTGAAATATGAAGTTCGCACAGCAAACGAGTTATTTCGAGGGCTTATATTCAATACCCTTTATCTGGTGGATGCTGTTAATTCTAACCATATAAATAGCTTGTTGGTAGAATTTGCAAAGTTAGAGTTAACTTCAGTCATGACAGGTAAGTCCCAGATGGGTTTCAATATCAGAAACGAATTTTTCTGAAAATTGCAGATAGAGGGTATTGAATATAAGACCTCGGATATGTTCATACAATCATATTAATAAATATGTGCATATGGGCATTTCCAATCTGGCGTCACGTGAAATTTGTATGCTAAAATGTTAAAAAGAAATTTTAATATTAAAAATGTTCAAACGGTTTCTCTATATTTACATAGTAATTAACTCAACTTTTACTCAGTAAAAAAAAAAATAAAAATACAACTGTTGGTAGTGGAGATTTAGAGATATTAGTAAACATATGCTCTGGCGTGACGTTACAAAAAACAGAAGTGGATTTTGACTTGGGTTACGAAATTGCAAAACTCTGCGAATTTTTTTCTAATATTTTAAATATGTAAGCCAAATTTTCCAAGTATTGAAATGTAGAAATCTTTTCTGCTTTTTGTTTAATCAGCTGAACTATATGACGCAATGAATTATTAACAAAAACTAACAAAACCAACAACCACATGATCAAGTGTGAATTGCAGCGGAATAGCTAGGTTGTGTTGGCTTAACAAATGAAAAATAGGAAAAAAACCCAACGATAATTTACAAGGCGAAATGTGCTGATTTCCGAAATAGCTATCAATTCTACAATTTTTTCTAATCATTGTTGCTTTTCCACAATAACTTTTTCATTAAAAACGGCCTCAAGCTCAATAAAAATTGTTGAATATAATTGTTATAAGGCCATAAAATAACAAAAACATATAATTATGTACAATAAAAAAAGTAATAATTGAATTAACAGAAAAAATTAAATGGAAATTCTATTGGCCGTGAGACTCGAACCCACGACCTCGCGGGACGCATTAATGACGTCTGTCAGGATAAAAATTTTATCAAATCAACTGCTCAGTTAATCGGGATCAACGTTGAAGTCTGTCTATGCTATAAGATATCATAGAAGATTAGAGGTTCCTGAATGACTTCGATTTTTTCGTCTGATACAAAATATCAACATACATACCCATAGCACACGTTCTTCAGAAGTGTATTATCTACCTCGAAATCTCCCATCGGCTTTTGCTGGTAGGTAAATACATAATAAATAAATGAAGATACATACACATAGCCCTTGATATGGACAGAAAGACCTTATCTAACATTTTTTGGTCCCTGCAGAAATTTAAAAATTTAATAAAAAGTAAAGTTCTTTAGTTTGTAATTTCTTTCAATTTCCATTTTTATTAAAGCCCATGTTTGATATTGCGCTGTGATATTTTTTTTTAATTCTCTTGGATAGCTAGTGAATAATCGCTGTCCTTATTACAAAGCTGGATTTACGAAAAAAAATTAGTTAGGGCCTCTCCAGGTACGAGTAAAATTATGTATTTTCGAACCCTTTTTGAGCTGGGTACATCCTAAAACATTAGGATGATCATTTAAATCAATTAAAGATAACTCTTACAAATTCGGCAGGGGTTTATTTTTGGGAA